AGGAGGACAAGAGCGGCGAGGTCTATCGCGATAGCTTAATTTCTCTATCGAGTAAAAGTTATATTGCGATACATATCGTTATCGTTCTATCGCCCAGCTCTATGTAGGAGTAACTGTATCTCAAAAGAAGAAAGGACAACCCCTGCGTCTGTCCAGGAAAATGATTATGAATCTATAATGGTTAGTGCCATGTGAGGATGCAGCTGAAAGAAATATCTGGCTCAGGAGGCGGTCTACCACGTCAAATTGAGCTACCTGTAGCAGGCGAGTGTACACTCCTGTAGCAGTGGCCTGGTCACACTCCACATAATCCCTCTGATAAACCTCTCATTCGTATTATCTCAGTTCCTGGCAGGCAAAAATAAAAATGTCCAAACTTCAGCTGCAGCTGGTACTCAAGGTCAGCAGCCTGGCTCTGCCGCTGGTGCAGTTACCCCCTTTAATAAACAGACATGAAACCACGCCTCCTTTCAGCAACTCTGATGATTTGTGATCTGGTGCTGTCTAAAAACCTCAGAGTGTCACTATCCTGCGTTTTTTTGACCCAGCATTTTGAGTTTTAGTGTATTTTGATGTTTATGATCTATGTTTAAGTCCATTAAGGTTTTCTAAGTCCATTTCTATTATGCCTAGGTTGCTGTTATAGTTCTTTGTTATTAGATTCCCCTTGTGTCTTCAACCCCTGTGTTAAGTCTTCCTCGCCCTTCATGTGTTTCATGTCTGCATGTCTTGTGTTGTCAAGTTCTTGTTGTCATGTCTGCGTCTCATTATGTTTCCTGTTTTATTTTGATGAGATCTTGTGTTTCTACGCTCAAATGTGTTTAGTTTTACTCTCCCCCTGTTCATTCATATCAGCTTTTTCCCCCATGTGTTTCCACTTCCGCTGATCACCTCATGTGTGCATTTAGTCTGTGTGTTTCCAGTCATTCGTCGTCAGGACGTCTGCCAAGTTCACGTCATGTTTCCAGTTTTTTTCTATGTATCCATGCCTGGTCCCATGTTCAAGGTTTCTTTGTTTTTCAGTCTTAGTTCACCCAGTTTAGGTTATTGTTTAGTTTGTCTTCTTTTTTAAATAAACGGCTCGTTTGCCACACTCAAGTTTTGTTTTGTCTCTTCGTGTGTTGCTGTGGGGTCGCCCTCCTCAGTCCACACAGTCAGCTTTGCAGCTAGACTGTGACACAGAGGTCTCAGCCCCTCTGTGTACATGTATTCAGGATTCAGCTCATTTGCAGAATTTTGAATTTGTGTTCATGTTTGTTTTTTATTAATTTGTAGCCAAAAAAGACACATTTTGTGGATATTTATGGGCTCAAATTGTGGTCATAAATATTTTGTACTTCAGATGCATATTTGTGAACTGTGTTTTGTGACCTTGTAAACCAAAATATCTGAAAAAGTTATGTTTGTGCATTTATAGATGAGAATTTGTGTGTGTGTGTGTGTGTGTGTGTGTGTAAAGACTTGTTTGTAAAAGTATTTATACAAGTTACAATTTGTTTTTTGTTAAGGTCTGGTTACAGATACAAAGCTGGTTGTGTGTGGATTTCAACTTATGAGTACGAATTTTGACCTAATTGTGTGGATGCCCTCAAAGGCATCCACACAACTAGAAGTTAAGACATGAGGCTTGTGCCAATATATCTTCAGACACTCCTGATGCTCACAATTCAAGAATATATTTCTCACCTATTACCGTTCTGAGATGAGTTACACTTGTTTGAGGGTAGGAAATTTGTTCTTCGCTCAGATTTCATCAGATTTAAAACTCTGGAAATGAGGCACTTTTTTCTCTCATCATATCTTTTTGATGGATTTCACCAGAGCCCTGAAAATTTCCATGACTGTTTACCAAAGCCTGCTGTTTCTTACGGTGAAAGAATGATTTTGATGCTCCATAGAGATTTAGAGTTACAAAACATTGTTTGAGGGCATGTCAAGGCAGTTTTTGCTTCACCTCTACTTAGTTACAGTGTTTTACAAGTCATATATCTTTAATAATTTATATTTTATCTCTGAATTATGAAGACCTGAAGATTCCCCCATCTCTTCTGAACAAAACAATGTCTGAATGACCGTTCTAGCCTCTACGGTTAGGAAATTATGGCCATTTGTTCGAGGGGAGTCCTGAATGTCAGAAATACACTGAAGAAAACTCACACCTCTCTCTGTGTCTGTGTGTGTAAGGGCTGACTACAGCAGGTGCAGCTAATTCAACTGACCTACATGAAATATCGATAGGTATACAATGATCACAGAATAAGACAACTTAAGATGAAGTTTTATAAACAAAAACTTATAAGATGCTCTACTCCGAGTAATACGCGAGCTCTGGTTGTGAATATCGTTGTCGTGTAAGAAGAGGCGTGTTTATACATACACGTTCGGTGAAGGGATGGCAGCTAATCGGTTGCTACAAGACCCTTTAACTGATTAACTAACTGGTTTTGTCAGGATCTGAAGACAGCCTAACGACTTTTTTACAATTCAGGCTAATGCGTGCATTTTGTTCTAATTGAAGCCAGTGCTAAGGTCCAGTTAGAATCATGGAAGTGATGAGACATACATAAGCTTTACTGATCGACTGTGTTGTCATCTGTAAGAAGTCGATCAATCACGTTTCCGCATCCGATCGTTATATACTCAGTGAGTACAACTTCCTCAATCATCAATACTCAACGAAGAAGGTGTAGGGGAGTGAAATTCACGGCAAATGTAAATAGAAAAGTTGCAGTAGAAAATCCAACGGAAAGATCTTTCGAAAAGTGCGTGCTAATGAATAATATTTTTCACAATGTTCAGAGTGATCGCTGGAATATAAAGCGATTTATCTAAGCCTTAGAAATGAAATGCGACGCAGCATATGATTATCTCACATACGTAACACTTATCACGCAGTACCACTTTAGTCCCTATGTACTAAAATTTTAGTACAATGCGAGCTAATCCATCTCATGCTCTCAAGATCATTCAATGACCTCAAATATAATTTAATGCTAAAACATGGTCAACATCATAGAGTAGAATTTGAGAAGCTAGCAAAAAAAGGCATCATATAACACGAGCATAGAGATCTAATTTGTGCGGTCAGACATAAGATCAAGATAATGGCTCAATGCAATGAAATAGTGCTTACAGGGGGACGGGTATTGATCTAGTCGATATTCACAATACAAATCACTGAAGCAAAAACAAAACGATCATTAATTACATTTTAATATCATCGTGATTTAACTTGCTTATTTTTTTAAGTGTAGACGCTCGATTAACGACGGTAGGCAAGATTTATCCTTATTACTCTATTATTTGAGTACCACCTAAAAATTCTACTGCTTCGTTCAAGCAGTGAAAGATAACATTTTGAAATATATGAGACTGCGTGTATTCATAGTAATTGGAAGGACCAAAGTATAGCAAGGCTTTGCAAGAAGAAAAGCATAGGACGTAGCAATTGGAAAACAAGAAAACTTCCTGCTAAAAGGCCATGTTTTACAAGAATTCGGGAGGGGCGATGACGGGCATTAGCAGTAAATTCTTACAGCATATCTGGACAGATCTGTGCATCTAATAACTTACAGAAATTAAAGTGTATGATGCTAGAGCATTAGACAAGGAAAAGGCGCAATCAGTAAAAAGGGGAAGATATGAAGTAGACGCTCACAAACCTGGAAGTCAGCGCAATAATGCTTAGACAGTATTGAGATTTCTTTTATTTCACCACAAGTCAGCAATCTTGCTAAAGCCGGAAATATAGTCTGGCCTTAGACTACCCATCTAGAAAAGATGAGTGCGGAGCGGGTGATTAAAACTCAGCAAGGAACACTTTATCTAACACAGCAAAACAACATAATAGGTTTGTATAACAATTAAGCGAGCTAACATCCATGGAAGTAGAAATGATAGAAGCCCATAATTTATATAAGTAGGTGCACTATTTTCAGGAAAGGGGAGCTAGCAAAAGGCATCAGAGCAGCGCACAGTTGGTCGCAGGGGATTTTACTATCAAACACCACGATCTCCGTTTTCTTTTCGTTCAGGACAAGAGAATTACTCTTGAACCAACCTTTAACCTCACGCATGCATTCATGAAAATAGTGAAAAGACATAGCAAGATCATCAGTAATCTCAAAATAAATCTGTATATCATCAGCATAGCAATGAAAGGCAATATTATACTTCTCAAAAATTGCTCCAAGAGGGAGCAGATATAGCGAAAAGAGAATAGGGCCTAATACAGATCCTTGAGGCACACCACAGCGTACAGGTACCGAGGAAGATGAGAAGTTGCCCAAATTAACCGAAAAAGACCTGTCAACAAGATAGGATTTAAACCAGTTGAGGGCAGTGCCTCTTATACCCACAGTATGCTCAAGTCTTAGTAGAAGAATGTTATGATCAACCATATCAAAAGCAGAGGAAAGGTCCAAAAAAACCAGGACCACAGAGCGTCCAGAGTCAGTGCTTACAAATAGGTCATTGAGAACTCTAAGCAAGGCCGTTTCAGTGCTGTGCCGTGGCTTAAAGGCAGACTGAAATTTCTCTGCAATGTTGTTCGCGTCTAAGTATGCCTGAAGCTGAGAAAGAACTAGTCGCTCCAGGATCTTGGACAGAAACGGAAGCTTAGAGATTGGTCGATAGTTCAAAAGATCATAACAATCAAGATTCTTCTTTTTCAGAATAGGCTGGACTACAGCATGCTTAAAGGCCAGTGGGACAGATCCAGAGAGTAGAGAAAAATTCATTAAGAACAGAATGCTCGGTCCAATTACATCAAAGCAGCCCTTAACAATGCGTGATGGGAGAATATCAAACACAACATTGGTGTTTTTTAGTTGATCAACCAGCTGCTTCAGAGTCGAAAGCGACACGGGCTCAAATTGATGAAAAGTTGAATTACACTCAGAGGAAAAGACAGGATAAGATGTAGACGAAGAGGAAAGCTTAAGGGATGAAACCTTATCTAAAAAAAGAATTTGAAAATGCTCACAAAGAGCTTGTGAATACAGTAAAGGCATATCAGGACCGGGATTAACAACAGAATTAAAATTTTTAAATAGCATACAGGGGTTGTGACAATTAGCCAAAATGACTTTGGAAAGAAAAGATGCCTTAGCCATTCTAGCAGCAGTTTGAAACTGTGAGCAGCTGGTACGTAACATATCATAAGAAACCTGAAGTTTATCTTTTTTCCACCTCCTCTCATCACGGCGACAGACACGTCGTAAGGCACGTGTAGTATCGTTTAGCCAGCAATGAGAGTAGGTTCTAGGGCGCTTCATTTTGATGGGAGCAACAGAATCAAGAATAAAAGAACAAACAGATAACAGGATATTAGCACAACTATCAACCGAACAGAGAGAACAGTCGTCAGGTACAGTCAAATCAGAGGTAGATGAAAATAATGATAGCAAAATATCAGCATAACCATCAGATGAGCGAACTGAGCAGCAGTCAGGAATTATAGGCGCCAAATCTAAAAAAGACACAGCAAACTTTGACAAAGCTTCAGAGCTGAGTACGCGTTTATTTACCTCTTTTCAGCACATAGTTTTACTTCTTCTGCTCTTTTCAGCAGATTCCACTACAAGGCATCCACAGCATTTTCGCAGGAAATGCAAATTTTTCTAGTTTTTATTCCTTTCAGCTGATTGACCAATGTCATGTCAATCCCAAATTTAACCGTCCAATCAGAGAACAGATGGGTTTGACTGTCGGAGGGGTGATTTTTCCGTCACACTTCACAGATTGTGTTGATTGCTGCACATCAACAGCTAAGCTGTGTGTCTCTGTGTTAATTTTGTTTCCCTTTATGGTATGTATTTGGCACTTTACTTTTGTTGTACTCTAGTACTCTGGCCGCGGCGCGGCAGTAGCACGCAGCGGCCACTCCGGAGCCAAAGTGGTGCTGCATTGTTTATTGTTTACGTTTTTGTGTGTAGCGTGTTTATTTTGCACTATGTATGGATATCGTCGCAA